GAAAGAAAGAAAGAAAGAAAGAAAGAAAGAGAGAGAGAAAGAAAGAAAGAAAGAAAAAAGAAAGAAAGAAAGAAAGAAAGAAAGAAAGAAAGAAAGAAAGAAAGAAAGAGAGAAAGAAAGAGAGAAAGAAAAAAGAAAGAAAGAAAGAAAGAAAGAAAGAAAGAAAGAAAGAAAGAAAGAAAGAAAGAAAGAGAGAAAGAAATTGGAGGGGTTAAAAAAATCCAAAACATGACCTCTGTCCTCAGGGACTAGCATTCCAGACAGAGGATGAGCTACACATATCTAAGACAGTAAGACACAAAAGCCTGCCAATCTGCGTGGGCATCCCCAGCTAGGGCCCTGTAAATAGAGCAGGAAAAAGGGACTATCAAACATGAATTGGCCCCCCTCAAGCTGCTGAATGCTGCACACACCATATCTCCTTTAATTCTTTCAACAATCCCACGAGGGTATTTGCTGTTAGCGTCTCTATTTTACTGATGAGGAAGCTGAGGCTCAGAGAGGTGGAGTAACAAAGGGAAGTTCACCAAGCTAGCAGGTGGTAGAGCCAAGATTCCAACCAAAGGGTCTGACTCTAGAGCTGGCTGGGAGGTGTCTCCGAAGGGGACCCAGCCTCTCCGCTTCAGTAGAAATTGCACCTGGCCATGGATCCTTTGAATAGGATAGTTGATGACTAAGATCCATCCCCACATGACTCCATGGTCCATGGTCAGTTCACTTGATATTTTCTCCCTGGGGGAATTAAGGTGCCCAGGATTTTAAGGGCATCCATCTGCGTCTGTTGGGGATGGGACTTTCTGGATCACAGATTCCCTTTAATCTCATCCTACCATCGTTTTTCTTCCTTCCTTTTCTCTCTTTCTTTCTTTTTCTCTCTTTCTTTCTCTCTTTCTTTTTCTTTCTTTCTTTCTTTCTTTCTCTTTCTTTCTTTCTTTCTTTTTTTCTTTCTTTCTTTCTTTCTTTCTTTCTTTCTTTCTTTCTTTCTTTCTTTCTTTCTTTCTTTCTTTCTCTTTCTCTCTTTCTCTTTCTCTCTCTCTTTTGTTCTTTCATTCTTTCTTCTTTCTTTCTTTCTTCCTATGTCCAAAGAAGGAACCTGTCCCAGTGCTACAGATGTGTCCCAGGGTCTGGGGTCTCCAAGAAGGAGGCTCTCCCTTTCCCCAGCTCAGGCAGATGGCCATTTTCCTGAATCACCCTTGACCCATTGTCCATCTCCCTGCATTAAGGGGGGATTTGCCCATGGATTCTGCTGTTGCATAGCTGTTGTATAGTTTTTCTCACACTGAAGATGGGGCCTGTCTGGGCCTCTCAGTCTGTTCCCAGGATCCTCTCACCAATTCTCAATATTTTCTCCTTCCTTTAATTGAGCTAACATGCCACTTTATAGCATCTTGGCAAATTTCACCTTCTTGTCCTAACTTATTTGGTCTACATTTAAGAAAAATACTTCAAAAGTCAGTTGTCCCAACCACCTTTGCACCCACAGTGCTGAAACCTGTTTATTGTGACCTTTTGGAGGAAAGAACCAAAACGAGATACACACAAAGCAGCAAATAACAGGATCTGTGGGCCATGACTTTTTCATGCCACACCCGATTCTACATCTTCACATATCTCTTATTTAGGTGGAAGGAGAGCAGTGAGGCACTATATAGACCCCAGATGCCTATGTGTCCCAGGGAGTCCCATTCCACCCCCAGGAAAAACAGAAAGTTGACTTAAATGACCTCTAAAGTCTTGACTTTAAAACCTCATCTTTACAACCATCTACAGTGTCAACTGAATTCCATCCCAGCCTGCAGGGATGGGGCTGTTAGAAGATCATATGTCCCTTACAAGACTTCTTATCCCTTGAACAGGGATGGAGAGTCCCCGAGACGTGTGGCTTGGGATCTGCCCAAGCAGACATGTGACCTGTGGTCTCCCCAGCAGATGACCAAGCACCGGGGTCCTTGAGTGGCCCCTCCAGGGCTGGAAGGCAGGACAGTGACCCTCTCGTCTCAGGTCTGCCACAAGCTTGGCCTCTGACCCTGCTGGCAAAACTCTTCCTCTTAGGGGCCTCAGTTTCCCTCGCTGTCTCAACCGATCACAACCTGGAGCTTGTAGCAGTTCTCCCACCTGCTTCACAACACCCTCCTAAATCTCCAGCGAGATTCTGTTCTCTTACGTAAGGGCTTGAGGAGTCCTTTTTCAGGTCATGAGAAATGACTGCCCAGACATTCATCCTAGCCTTCTCCAGCCCTCCTGCCCTGCCTTTGCTTTCTCCCATACCCAGGGCTCCATTCACCCCTTTCTAGTAAGCAGCCTCGATCTCATTAGTGGTTACAGCAGTTCTGAGTCTCTGAGCATGGACTTTGAAGCCAGAAAGGGGTGACTGGAATCCTGCCTCTATCACATGTAGTCCCTGGGGCTTTGGGCCATTTAACCTCCCGGAGCCTACTTTGCAGCTGAGCCAAGAGGACAGTGATACTGGAGAGTGTTAAATGGGACAGTGCCTACAGAGTGCAAACTAAAGTGCTGGCACTTAGTAAGTGCACACCCATCTGAGGGCCTCCCTTCTCCCCAGAACTCATCACCAGGGACACTCAGGCATGTGCATCTACATAGCGCTCGCTCAACTGGTAAGGCTGCCGCGGGGTTGGAAGGTCCAATGCTCTACTTTACACCTCTCATGTTCTGCCCGGACCCCTTCTTCAAGCCTCTGCCCAGCCCACTGAGGGTCACCAGCGTCACCACCAACAAAAGAGCAAGGCTCACCTTCCTGAAATAGTCTGCAAGGCTGTCGGGGTCCCAGGCCAGGACATCTGAGCGAAAGGGCACGTTCTTCAATGCCATGGCTGCTCTCCCGGGACAGAACTCACAAGCGGAGCATGGGTGCTGCACCCATGGACAGAGAACTCCAAATCCACAGTGTGGAGGTGTCCTTGACTCTTCCAACTCCCAGTTACCTTCTGGAACCCCCTTGTTGGAGCACACGTCTTTTCTGCTGTAACCAGATCCCAGAAAGCAACGGCTTCCCCTGCGAACAAATATGGTCTCTTCTCAGAAAACGACTCAGCAAGTTTCCTTTACCACTTCCTCTGCTCGGCTCTAAATAAGTAAACAAGGAAGCCCAGCTCTGAGGGCTGGAGAGGTAGAGAGAGCGATGGAGTTGGTAATCTCCCCCTGGTCCTGGCCACCCCCACCCCATGGGAGGGACAGTGAAGGGGACTTAGACTCCAGTGTGAGCCCGAGTGTGTTTCCATTAAAACTCCTGGCACCCAGATATTTATACTGCCGTCTTACTTGGCTGGGTCTTCGCAGATGAAAATCTATTTTGACAGTTGACCTCAAATATACATAAGCGCCCACATCAGCAAACTGTGGGGGTAAGGAGTATGGCCTTTTAATGCTTTCCAACCATCTCTCGGTCTCTCCCAAAGGGATAACGTTGACATTCCTTCAGCCGCCGCCTCCGTAGAGTTACCAGAGGATTCTCGGGGAGTGAGCCGGGCACCCAGGGCTGAGAAAGGGGCTGCATCGGGCAGACCCCGGCTTCACTTCTGATGCGATTGTTTCCATCCTGTGCAACCTCACACAAAGGGTTTAAAATGGAGGAGTCTCAGTTTCCATATCCATAAAACAGGAAAACACGAATTGTCTCGTACATACCTAAACCTTAGATGCAGTTAACTAGACAAACTTAAAGAAAAAAAAAATCAAGAGCACACAAATAGCGACTGCTGTTGATGCTGCCACGGGCTCTCTCCGCTGTGGTTTCCCCCATAGATTCTAGTCACCATTGACTCCTCCACATCTTCTACCTGAAGAGTACATTCTCTGGAGTGGCCCTGTGGCAGGACATGGGTATCTGCTGCTCTCTGAGCTGGTCTCAGTCCCTCGCACTTCTCACAGTATGAGAACCTTATTGGCAGAGGGCAAATCCAGTGTATAAAAACAAATACATTTGTGCAACATCGCAGTCTCTAAACACAGGTTCTCCACTTTAGCTAATGCTCTGCGCGCCCACATACACACACAGCCCTCAGTTCTGATGCTTGAGGAAAGCATCAAGCTCTGTTGCACTTACTAAGTTGACACTACCTTGGTCCCGGAGGAGGTTAGTTCTTGAAGCCTTTCTGAGGGTAGCTTTGGCCATGCAGAGTTCCCATCTTACACACAATCTAAGGAGCCACTCTGACACTGCTCCAGCCTATAGGGGTTCTGCATTTCATTCCAGGCCCAGCACCTGGGAAACAGCCCATAGAATGTGGTACCAGGGGTCCTAGGGGCACCAGTCATCAATCGAGGCTGCCCAGCCAAGTGCTTTCTCCAGGGCCTGGGAGCTCAGCTCTCAATAACTGTGCTGTTCAAAAGCTCTGCCACTGGGGGAAGAGAAAGGATCCAGCACTTTCTACGATTGAAACTTGGTGTTTCAAATCACGGGAATAGTGGTCAATGATAAAAAGCTATTTGAAAAGAGAAGGATAGAGAGAAATCACTTCCTGGCAGGGCAGTCAAAAAAGACGTCGCGGGGGGGGGCCTGGGTGGCTCAGTGGGTTGAGCATCTGCCTTCAGCTCAGGTCATGATTTCAGGGTCCTGGGATCGAGCCCCACATCACATTGGGCTCCCTGCTCGGCGGGGAGTCTGCTTCTCCCTCTCTCTCTGCCCCAACTCCACGTTCGTGTCCCTGCTCCCTCTCTCTCTCTAAAATAAGTAAATAAATAAAATCTTAAAAAAAAAGGAGTTGTGGAATTAGCTGGAATTGAAGCAGGGCCTTGGAAAATGGAGAAGAGGAAGGACATTCTGCACCTGTGGGTGTGTGTGTGTTGACGTGTACTTTGTGAGCAAACAAAACACACAGCACTAGTGGAAAGGAATATTTAAGATCATTCTTACAAGTAGAAGCATTTTTTTTAATGATGTTCACTCCCACTCAGGAGAATAAATATCTACAGAAACACAGAAGTTGAATTAAGGTATAGCTAAAAATTAAGCTCCTTTGAAAGAACTCTCCAATAAATGTTGCCAAATGGACAATCCATGGAGCCCATTTCAAAGGGAGACATGGCTGGTAAGAAATGTGGATGACGGTGATGATGGAGAGAAGACTCATCCTGGGTGAAACTCCCGGAGTCCTTCCCGTGTGTCAGGGAGTAGGCTAAAAACTTCCACTAATTGTCTTATTTAATTATCCGCACTATCACCTCTCCTATTTCACAGAAGGGAAAGCCAGGGCTCAGAGAGGTAAAACTACTTGCTGCCTTGCACCCAGCAAGTAGGTCGTGCAGCCAGGTCTCATCTGGCGCCCACCCTCTCTGGGTCCAGGGCCCCTGTCCTTCCCTCTCTGTCACCTCAAGGCTCTGAGATGTTACGTAAATCACCCAGGTGGAGTAGGGATTCAAACCCAGCTCTGTCTCCAGACCCTGTGCTCTGTCCTACTCTATCAGCCTCTTTTCCATGAAGAGCAAGGGAGGTTGGCAATCTGGAGAAGTTACAAAAGGGATCCAGCACTTTCTACGAGGCCCTTGGCACCCCCTCCCCATACGACCACAGGCCCACTCCTCAGAAGGGCTCCTGAACAGACAAGAACAGGTGACTCGAGGGGAAGTGGGTTGCCTTAGACCTGGAGACTTCCCTCTTCCTCAGTCCTCGGTGATTTCCCAACACTCACAAATTTCACATCTCCCGTCTCTGGCCGAGGGTTCCAGAAGTTCTGGGGGCAGGGCCGGTTCATCTCCAAGAGAGGCTCAGGATGCCAGAAGAACCATACTGATCCTATGCAGGCCACCTCTCTTGGCCCAGTCTCAGGCTCCTTGCCTATGAAATGGAGAGTCGTAATAGCAGCCCCTGGGCACAGCCCACCACCGAGGGGATGTTGCAGCAATGAAGGCCGGACCAGCTTACACCGATCCTCTAACGGGCATCAGTCTTGGCTTCAAGCATGGAGCAGAGCAGAGAGAGGGGCAGGTAAGGTGCAGTGATGTAAAGCCATGGACTGGGTGGATATGCCCTCTCCCTCAGCAGGTGGAGAAAGCCAGGACTCATGAAGGAGTCAATGGAAATGTTAGCAGAGTCCTTCTCAGGCTTTGGGATATTATCTCCGGATTAGGAAGGGGCAAGGTCTCAGCATACAGTAAGAACGACACGCTGGTATAGGGAACAGGGTCTCGCGGGATAGGAATTTTACATGTGGGATCAATGAGCTTGTGGACAAGAAGGCGATACTTGGAGGGAGCGAGGTGTCAGAGTTTTCGATCTTAGGGACTAAAAGCAGATGTAGGAATTGCACACTGCAACCCAGAGTGGGGGATCTCCCCTGTTTCCCCCTGCCTCACCCCACCCCATCTGGACTTGAAGCCCCCTCTCTTCCCGCTGACCCACAGCAGAATGAGGTGGGGAGATAACTGTTTTCTTCCCAGTTAATTTGAGGGGTGAGAAAGATAAGCAATTCATTAGAAGAGACTTGGAATCTGCAGCTTCTGCATGCAGGGCAGGGGCAGGGTCTGGGGACTTGTCATGGGACCCCAAGAGAGAATGGGAAGTCGGCCTTTGGAGGGGAGAGTGTTGACTTCCTAGGAGAGGCCCCTAAGGCATTAGAAGGTGGGTAAGAGGATGTGCTTATTTGGATTTGATTTGTACCGAGGCTCTTGGCTAGGGAGAGAGACAAAAGTGGTGGCGTGTGACATGGAGAGGGTGACGACATGGGGCACTGTGGGCGATGGAGACAAATGCCCTTGCGTGGGGTGACCCCAGCCTCACCGCCACCAACATTTTATGGCTGCATGTACCACTCGAGGTGAGGTACTGTTAGAGTGAATTGCTGTTGAGCTTTCTTTAGAGCCTGGCTGGGTTTGCCTACAGAGGGAACAAGAACCACAGCTGTCACCTTCACAAGGAGGGGACAGTTTTCCCCTCCATCCTCAGAAGTCGGTAATGGAAGCGCCATCCGTGTGGAATCCTTCTGGATGGCAAAGGGCTCCACCCACACAAGAGGGTAGAGCAGGAAAGCCCAGAGGGGCCCTGACCACTGCCCTGGGCAGGGCAGCTCCACACACCCAGCAGCCATACACTGAGACACAGAATACGGTGATCCTGCCTCACAGTGGGTGTACCGGGGGCGTGGGGGCAGGGGGAGACAGGCTTTCCATGCAACCACCCTGGGAGGTACAGGGGCCATGCTCACCAGAGCTCCTGGAGGCTGCAGGGTGGGGAAGGTGGGGAGATGCTGGTGCCAGCCCACAGCTGCCCTTCCTCAGGCCATGCTGTACTCTGTCCCAACCGCCCTCGACACACGCCTGCCACCCCAGACTGGACACAGTCCTCACCTCCCCTATCCTGGGATACACACGAGGAGAGCAGGAATCAGCTGCTACATGCGAGACAATGAGGAGCAATATTTTCCACTTCCTCAAAGCTGACAAGTTCATTCTTCAAAAAAAAAAAAAAAAAAATACGTGTCTTTTTCATCCTCTCTACCTCTTTCTCTGCTGTTTTAACTGAGGTACCTCAGAAGGTTGAAAGTGGGTGGGAGGAAGTGCTTATTTGGACTTCCTGTCAAGCCTCCCTTTCTTGTCTGCCCTATTTTTGACTTCGGCAGCCTATCCCCAGATAGCTCTGCCACCAAGGGAAACTCCCCGGGTGCCCACAAGGGTGGGTGGGATGTGGGCAGGGGCAGGAGAGGGGAAGGCGGGCTTCTCATCTCGATAAAGGAGAAAAGGCGCTGCCCCCTCCTCGGGCAAGCTGCAGAGAGGCAGAGTTGGGGGAAGAGGTGGGATGAGTGCAAGAAAAGCAAAGGCAGTTTTACCCACAGCCCAGAAAAGGTAGATGTGGCCTCCTCCAGCTGTTTCCTCCCAAGGAACAGTGGTGGCCCAGGAAACACATACGTGCCCCAGGAGGAAGCAAAGATTTGCAATAAGCAAGCCCATCAGCCCAGCATGGATCAATTCCTTATAGCTCTCGGCCCTTTGGATCGGCACAAAAGCCCTCTGACTAGATGGCAATGCTCCCATTTTACAGATGCTGAGAGACCAAAATTTCTCTCGCCCACATTCCCAGAGCTAGTCAATGCAG